GAAAGACCAACCCACGAGGACACTTCACGCGCCCTCACGCGCTTGCCGTAGTTCTACCGGAGACTTGCCGGAAAGTTCAGTCCGGCAAAGAAGCAAAGGTTGAAGAAGTCAACCTGTTCTAAAGGCTTTAAGTATTCACTTGTGCACTAAAATAACACAAGTTCATACTTAGCAGAGTGGTTATAGCCTTTGGTTTGAAGCATTAAGGTCAAGGGTTCAAAACCCCTGCCACGTCATGCCACATCAGCGCCAGGTGCCAGCCAGCTCAACTGCACAACAGTGACACGTCAGCACACCTGCCACGTCAGTGTCCCACTCAGCACTGCCACGTGTCGAGACACGTCACTACCAGCTCAACTGCCACGTCATTGACACATCAGCACACTTGCCACGACAGCGTCCCACACAACACTGCCAAGCCAGAGACATGTCATCGCCAGCTCAACTACCACGTCAACACCACATCAGCACATCTGTCACGTCATCAATCCCAGTCAGCCAAACTTTCTGAAATTGCAGGGAGGCCCCTAAAAGTTTGGTAACTTGCATTTCGGCCCCTGATCTTGGTGAAATTACAATTTAGTCCTTGGAACTTCTATTAATTGCAGTAAGGTCCCAGAGTTTTGGAAAATTATAATTTGGCCCTTGGATTTTGAGAAATTTCATTAAGGTCCCTAGAGAGGTGGAGAAAGTGTTTTTCTAGCTAAATTAACCATTCCGAACACAACTGCAGATTCCGTTTTTTGAGATTCGGACCCGAATTTTCAGTGAAGTTTTTGGGAGCTTTGAATTTGTTGTGTTCCGGGTATTTCAAGCGTCTGTTATTGTTTGTGGTGGAGATTATTGAGCAATCTCAATGGCAGAATCTACAGAGACGAGATCAACCGAGTCCACAAGCAACCCAGCGACTACAAGCAACTCTAGGCATTGGACCCCGGTGTCCCATGCTAAGTTCGAGGTAGAAAAGTTTGATGGAAGCAGCAACTTCGGCATGTGGAGATGCGAAGTTAAAGATATGCTTGTCCAGATGAACCTGCACTTCACTCTGGAAGACAAACCAGATGGCATGGACGAGATAGAATGGGAGAAAGTAAATCTCCTGGCCTGCAGTTCCATCCGACTTTGCCTTGCAAAAGATGAGAAGTATGCCTCCACAGAATATGATATTGCGAAGGACCTTTGGAAGGCGCTAGAAGACAAGTTCATGACAAAGAGTATTGAGAACCGTCTCTACTTGAAGAAAAGGTTGTTTCGATGAACGAACACTTAAACAATTTCAACAAAATTCTTACCGATTTGAAAAACTTGGATGATCACATTGATGATGAAGATAAAGCACTGTTACTGTTGAATTCCTTGCCTGACACATATGATCATCTCACCACCACTTTACTGTATGGTAAAGAAAAGATCAAGTATGTTGATGTTTCAAACGCCTTGGTAAATAATGAGTTCAAAAGGAAAGATAAGTCTGCAAACAGGGACTCAGCATCAGAGGCTTTGACAGTCAGAGATAGGACGAATAATAGAAGATATACAGGGCAGGGAAAGTCTCGCTCAAAATCCAGAGGGAGATTATCAAATAAAAGACGTCTTACAAAAGACGAGTGTGCTGCTTGTCGCTAGAAGGGTCATTGGGCAAAAGATTGTCCCAATAAAGATAAGAAAGAGGAAAAGGTGAACGTTGCACGAGATGGAGATAATGGTGAAGGATCAGCCTTCATAGTTTCATCATATGGCCAGTCTGATTCTAGATTCCGGATGTTCCTACCACATGTGTCCTAATAAGCAGTAGTTCTCGAGCTTACGAGAGTTCGATGGAGGAGTTGTGTTGATGGGCAACGACCAAGCTTGCAGAACAAAGGGGATTAGAACAATTCAACTGAAGATGCATGATGGAACAATTAGAATTCTCGAAGATGTTTGGTACATACCAGATTTGACGAAGAATCTCATCTCAGTGGGAGTTTTAAACTCCAAAGGTTACAGAGTAACTGTGGAAGGTGGAGTCCTTAAAGTTGTTTGAGGAGCATTTGTTGCAATGAAGGGTACTCGAAAGGGAAATTTATATTTCCTAGACGACTCTGCAGTCACAGGGAGAGTGGTTGTCTCTACCAGCTCAGAAAATGATGGATCAGACACTTCCAGACTTTGGCACATGCGTTTAGGGCATACTGGAGAAAAGGCTTTACAAGGGTTGGTGAAGCAAGGCCTGTTGAAAGGCGCCAAAACAGGGAAGCTTGAGTTCCGCGAGCATTGTGTATTGGGAAAACAAACAAGAATCAAGTTAGTACTGCCATTCATCGCACCAAAGGGATTCTGGACTACGTTCACACAGATGTTTGGGGACCTTCCAAGAATGCTTCTTTGGGAGGTAAACACTACTTTGTGTCATTCATTGATGTTTTCTCAAGAAGAGTTTGGGTTTACACAATGAAGCATAAAGATGAGGTATTAGACATCTTTTTTACATGGAAGAAAACGATTGAGACCCAGATAGGTAGGAAGATCAAGAAGCTCAGATCTGACAATGACGGCGAATACACATCAGATCCCTTCTTTGAGGTTTGCCGGAATGAAGAGATAGTGAGACATTTCACAGTTAGTGGAACGCCACAGCAAAATGGAGTTGCAGAACGCATGAACTGCACTTTGGTGGAGAAAATCCGGTTTATGTTGTCACATTCTGGATTGAGCAAGGCATTTTGGGGCGAGGCATTGAACTATGCTCGTTATCTTGTTAACCGACTACCTACTGCAGCACTTGATGGCAAGACTCCCATGGAGGTATGGTCAGGAGTGCCAGCTACTGATTATGATTAGCTACGTATCTTTGGATGTCTAGCTTATTTTCATGTTACAGAATCTAAGTTGGATCCTAGAGCCAAGAAAGCTATCTTCTTGGGCTTCAGTGACGGTGTCAAGGGATATAGACTCTGGTGCCCCGAATCAAAGAAAGTTGTCACTAGAAGAGACATTACCTTTGATGAGTCTACAATGCTGAAGCAACTAAATCCTCAAGAGAATGAGGAAGCATTGAAGAAGTCAGTGTAGGTGGAGTTTGAGACTCCAGCGAAGACTGTTCAGACAGACAACAATCCTGAAGAAGTTTCAGTTGACAGCTCTGAAGAAGATTCTGAAGAGAGTTCAGATGAAAATGAAGATCCAAAGGCCCCACAACAGTCAGAACCCATTGCAATCAGAAAAGGGAAAAGAGTTACTAAGAAACCCAGTTGGATGACCAATATGGTGGCCTATGCACTTCTAATCATTGAAGATAATATTTCTTGCATTTTCAAAGAAGCGGTGCAGAATCCAGAAAGTGTCAAATGGAAGAAGGCTATGGATGAAGAGATCAAGTCACTTTACAAGAACCAGACTTGGGAGTTGGTGCAACTTCCAAAAGGCAAGAAAGCAATTGGGTGTAAGTGGGTTTACACCAAGAAGAAAGTCATCCTAGGCAAAGACAACATCAGATTCAAAGCTAGATTGGTAGCTAAAGGCTATGCCTAGAAGGAAAGAATAGACTACAATGAGGTATTCTCACCTGTTGTAAAGTATTAGTATCTTGCTCGCTTTGGTTGCACAGTTTGATCTCGAGCTCGCCCAACTCGATGTCAAAACTGCCTTCTTACATGGAGATCTTGAAGAAGAGATATACATGTCCCAGCCAGATGGTTTCAAAGTTGCTAGAAAAGAGAATTGGGCATGTAAGCTGAACAAATCATTATACGGGTTGAAGCAATCCCCAAGACAGTGATACAAGCGATTTGATTGGTTCATGATGGAAAAGAAATACACAAGAAGCCAATATGATCATTGTGTATATTTCCGTAAGCTTTCCGATGGTTCTTTCATCTATGTGCTCTTATAGGTAGATGATATGCTGATTGCATCTAAGAGCAAAGTAGAGATTGATAAACTCAAGGCACAGTTGGCAGGAGAGTTCGAAATGAAGGATCTTGGCAAAGCAAAGAAAATTCTTGGCATAAAGATCAAAAGAGACAGGAAGAAGGGCACGGTTTGTCTGACACAAACCTAGTATCTGAAAGAGGTGTTAGATAGATTTGGCATAAATGGGAAAACAAAAGCTGTGAGTACACCATTGGCCCCTCATTTCAAGCTTAGTGCTTCGATGTCTCCATGCACAGAAGAAGAACGGAAGCATATGGCACAAGTTCCATATGCAAATGCAGTTGGTGCATTAATGTATGCTATGGTTTGTACAAGGCCTAACATCTCACATGCTGTGAGTATGGTAAGCAGGTATATGCATGATCCGAGGAAAGGTCACTGGCAGGCAGTGAAATGCATCTTAAGGTACTTACATGGTATAGTTAATACAGGTTTAAAGTTTGAGAGAGATCATAAACTCGGACAGAATCTGGTTGGATATGTGGACTCAGATTATGCTGGTGACTTGGACAAATGCCGGTCAACAACAGGGTATTTATTTATGCTTGCTAAAGGGTCGGTGAGTTGGAGGTCAACGCTTCAGTCAACAGTGGCTTTGTCTACTACAGAGGCAGAGTACATGGCAGTGACAGAAGCCTTTAAAGAAGCTATTTGGCTACATGGGTTGATTGAGGACTTGGGTATTGTTCAGAAGCATGTTGAGGTGTACTGCGATAGTCAAAGTGCCATTTGTTTGGAAAAGAACCAAGTTCATCATTCCCGTACCAAGCACATTGATGTTCATTTCCATTTCATCCGAGAAATTGTGAATGAAGGGGATATTCTGCTTCAAAAGATTAGCACTGCAGATAATCCGGCCGATATACTCACAAAAGTGGTTTCTGGGATCAAGTCCAACATTGTTTGGACTTGGTCAACATCTCTCAGAACTAAGCACCTTCGGGTGCATGGCAGTGTTGATCGATCACTATGTTGGATAGAGAATCCTCACCAAGGTGGAGATTTGTTAAAGATTGGCTCAGATTTTCAACGATGGCTGCTGATTAATGGCTGCCAGAAATGCTGATTGATGGTTGCCATAAATGATGGTGGTTACCATAAATGAAGTCGGCAACTTGTCTCTCCCATTGATCTATAAATGGGTAATGAATGAGAGGAGTTTTGTGTGGTGAGTTGAAGAGAGAATAAAAAGCACAGAGAGAGAGAATTACAGAGTGTGTAATACTTTGTTCCAAATAGAGTGAAATTTCGCTGCCCGTGGACGTAGGCGATTTGCCGAACCACGTAAATCTTTGTGTGTTCTTATTTGTGTGCTTGTGTGTGATTGTTTTCTGCCTCCTAGGCACAACACTGGACACTTATTTGGAAGTGGAAGTCCACAAAGTTCAAGGTTTCCCGAGTATACAGAGGGATCAAAGCTTTGTAATTGAGTGCTTATTGGGATTTTTCCCGCCAGCCTGTTATGTGACAAATTCAACACACTGAGAAAATTTAGATCAGCGAGGCTGGTAGGAATCGCGCCATAAAGCTCATTTGCAGACAAGTCAAGAGATTTCAACATTTTCATCCGACCAACTTCTTGGATGATATTTCCTGTCAAATTGTTTCTTGATAGGTTCAAAGAAACCAACCCCTCAAGACTCCCAACTTGTTTAGGAATTTTCCCAACAAGTTTATTGCTAGAAAGATCAATGCTTTTTAGTAGTCCCAAAGTACTTCTGTACTCTGACTCTTGTCCTTTCCATAGCACCAATGCATTCTCAATATAGCTGCCACCTCGATAATAAGAGCCATAAAATGTCTCATAATAAGAAAAAATGGTTACACTAGAACTTTTACTTTCCACCAAGGCAGTAAAATTGTGAAAACAGTGTGGTATGTTTCCTGATAAACGATTATGGGAGAAGTCCAAAATTTGAATTTGGTTAAGGTGATATATATGTCGAGGTATGCGTCCCTTGAACTCATTGAATCGTACACTAAGAACAATTAAACCTGTTAGGTGTACCTGTGAGAATATATTGTGGGTCTTACAAATTAAACTTAGAGTCCTATTAAAGGCATGATTGTATTAGAGTCATGATAGTATTGTATTTGTATTTGTATTTCCTTTTTGGTTTAGGAGTTAGGGCTATATATATTCTAAGATCTGATTGTAATTGATACACATTGAATATATGAGATACAGAAAGCCATTCAGAAATCTTACATGGTATCAGAGCCTTGTTCGAAACCCTACGTCCACGCTTGTTGTTCGAAGTTGTCGCTGATTGTTCGAAGTCGTCTCTGTTCTTTGGTCTTCTTCACAGTCGCGACTTAGGGTTCGTGGGTCTCTCTGGTTCGTGGGTCGCGTCTTCAGTCATCATCAGCAACTCGAGATCAGCTTCAGCCCGTGCTTCGTCACGGCTCAGTTCTGGTCCTTCTGGTTCGCGAACTCAGTCCCTCTGGTTCGCGAACGTCATCACCGTGCTTCTGATTCAGGTCGCGATCGTCTTCCGCCGTCGTTCACAGCCATCGCGACTCACCTCGCGATCGTCTTCAGCCATCGCGACTCCGTCCTGTCTTTTGAATCTTCTCTGGTTTGTGATCTGTCGTTGGACTCGTGAAGTTGAGTCGCTGCCATTGCTAGACTCGCGAGGTTAGGTCATAGCGATATCAAGCTGCCTTCTCTCTCTGTTTCGACTGGTGCTTGTCTCTCTGTTTCGACTGGTCCAGTTCTCTCTCTCTCTCACTGTTATTTGATCATCTGGTGGTATAAATATATACCTCTCATATAAACTCTATTTTATTAAAAAAAAAAAAAAATGGACTCTTCTTTGGCCACTCAATTATCTGTTATTGCATTTTAACCCTACAAAATTTTAGGAACACTTGAACCCCTTAGTTTTCTAGTTATTATGATGTCTCTGGCTTCGGATGAATGTGCCTACTGCCATCAAAGAGGTCATTGGAAGTATCATTGTCCCAAGAAGGGATGTTTGTCTGCTTTGTCTGTGTTTGCCTCGTCTTCTCAGCAATTGCCGATTAAGTTCTGAGCTCCTCCTCTGAGTACCGTTCGGCCTCCCACTGATTCTACTGTATCTGCTTCGACTCCTGATCCTGACTTAGCTTCCTTGAGTGCTCAGATTAGTCAGTTTCAACGTACATTGTGTACCTCCCAGCCATCTATGTCTGCCTCCATTGTTTCCCCTCTTCATTCAGGTTTGCTTGGGTCTTCTTCAGGTATTTCTTCGTCTGTCTGGCTTTTTGACTCTGGTGCCTCTCATTATATGACTCTCCATCTCTCCTTACTTCAAAATTGCACTCCTCCTCATTTTCCTATTACTGTCAATACTGCTAATAGGTCTGGTATGTCTGTTATAACTATTGGGTCTGTCCTACCGTCTGCTATGTCTGCTGTCTCTATTCCATTTGTTCTTTATGTTCCTTAATTATCTATCAGTTTATTATCTATCAGTCAACTTGACGCCTCTGGTTTTGATGTTATCTTTTCCTCTTCTATCTGTTCTGTGCAGGATCGGATGTCTAAACAGCAGATTGGGACTGGTCGTAGAGTTGGGGACCTCTATGTGGTAGAGAGCTTGCATCTACCTTTGACAACCTCTCCAACTGCCTTTTTCTCTTTTCAGTTAGATTCTCTGTCCAGTCCTTTCTACTTGTGGCATTCTAGATTAGGGCATTTGTCTGCTGACCGCTTATGGTCTTTGGCTCAATCAGGTATCTTGGGAAAAGTTTCTCCTAGTGAACTTACTGAATGTCAGGGGTGTAAACTCGCCAAGATGACAGCCTTACCTTTTCATAAAAGCACTTCTATATCTGATACACCATTTTCTTTAGTTCATACTGATGTTTGGGGCCCTTCTCCTATTCTCACCAAAGGGGGTTCTGCATACTATGTGTCATTTGTTGATGACTGCACCCGTTACACTTGGGTTTATCTTATGACTCATAAGTCCGATTTCTATCAGATATACTGTACCTTTCAGTCTATGATTATTACACAATTTAGGTCTACTATTAAAGTGTTTACGGTCTGACTTGGGTGGGGAATATTTTAAAACTGAGTTTTGTGAGTATTTGGCCAATTTGGGTACCATTCACCAAACTTCCTATACAGATACACCTGCCCAAAATGGTCGCGCTGAGCGTAAACACCGTCATCTCCTTGAGACAGCTAGGTCTCTTCTCTCTGCCTCAGTTCCGGCTCCATTCT